AACTGTACATGAATTTTTACTACTCTAAAGTTTCTGTAGCTCTCAATGTTTCCAAAGTTTCTCTTAAAACACAAGTGCCTCTCCACCTCATATAAAGCAAAATTAAGCACTTTCCTCATTTCTTGTATTTTCAGTAGACTATGCAAACCAGTGCTGCAGAAAACCAGCGAAACTATGTTTTTGGCAAGTTAGAGATAAGAGATTAGAGGAGCAAAGAGACATAATTTGGAAGTACTAAATAAGAACATATCTGCTAACAGGAGCAGCATCAAAAGAGTAAAATAATTGGTTTATTCTGCTATTAGGTTCCAAGTAAGAAAGTAAGCCCAAGAATATTTCAGAAGTTAGTTCAAGCTTTCATTTTCTCTGGAAGACAACAGCCACATAACATTTATAATGAACTGTGCTGACAATTAGATAACCTCCTCTGAAAAGGCCATGCCCAAATTTTGCCTAGTCTTTGTGGACACATATGGGTGGAAATGGGAGGTGTACACTTGTATTCCTTGAAGATTTAGTCTTCTTCACATGAAAACTTCACTGCTGAGCCCATACTGACAGCAGAAGTCTGATATGTTTGGCAGGAGTCTCTGACATATCAGAAATCCAAGTCACAGGTGAGATGGCACTCCGTAGGGAAGGCAAGGAGAACAAACCGGAGTCTGTGTTGTCAGAACCAGTGGAATAAACCCTTGGTTCAGGTCACAGAAAGGTAAAATTCTGCATAGCTGCACTCTCAGCAGCTCTCCTTGCCCTCTCCACTGAACTGAAGAGGGAGAACCCCTGTAACCCAGAGGTGAAAGAAGGGTGTTATAAGGAGAGATGACCTGGCAGAAACCTTATGAGATACAAAAATTGAAAAATGCAGGATGGGAGCAAGCAGGACCCAAGGGAATTAAAACAAATGCTTAGTATTAATGAAGGATACTTAGTAACTTTGCTTCTCTTAACAACTGGTACTCTCTTAGGGGGTTCCAGTAAAGTCAGAACAATAACAGCAATTAATACTAAGATTCCACACAGTGTGTCCGCAAGAGCACTTGAGCTTAGTATTTTTATAGGTCACTCACCAACAGGCTTTAAAAGCTCAAATAAAGTTACTGGGAGGAGAAAAGCTCTGTGCCTTTGTGGCTGCAGGAACCTTCAGACCTCCCAGAAGTGTCACAGTGTCAGCAGCACCATCTAATAGTGAGGTTCTGCTGAGATATAGAACATGATGGCATCTTGCTCACATCCTTCCAAGGTTCAAATATGGTACAGTCCACAGCCTTAAGGAATATGCTCACATCATGAATTTAATCAGAAGAGAAAGGCCCACAAAACATTTGATATGGTTTACCATCATCTATTTCACCAGCTTTCAAACAGCAGCATGGGGGGAAAAGACTGTTTTCCTGATTGTCTTCCCACAAAAGAAAACTTTGCATTTTAGATCCATTATGTTCAAGAAAACTGATTTCAGCTTTTAAAGATTTAGATTACAGGACAGACCCAACAAGTGAGCCAGAACCAGTAGAGCATTAATAAGGAGTTAAAAGCCCTACAAAAGCTGAAGCAGAGAAAACACAAGAGTTAAAGAGGAAATACGTCAATCATGAAGACCCTGGTAAGAATATGGCTTATGAGTAATATTCTTATACGTGGCTGCTGCTTCCTTTTTTTTTTTTTTTCCCCCCTTCCTCCTTTAAACTCAGCATCTCCATCCAATTTTGAAAGTCAGTCTTGCTTGCTATCTTGGACAGATTTATTTTTTCTGTTATATCACCTAGGCAAATGGTGCTGCAGCTCCTTCCAATTGTGGAAGGCCATGGCTAGCTAGGAAATCAGTACTGACAGATGTTTCCAAGACACAAACAGTGCTGTGATTTTCTCACCATTTTAAGTCTGTAAACAGCACAAATGTGTTGCTACTTCAGAAGCAGGATTTGGACTTGTCAAGGTATAGATAATAGAGAACAAAGCTATTAAATGATGAAAAAGTGGTTCTAAAAAAACCCTTTCCTTTTTGTATTAGGACATGTAAGTCTTGAGCTGAAGTGTCTGCTGTGTCAATTCCAGAGGGAGACACTGTGTTTGACACCTCTCCCCTTCTCCAAGGTGACTGCCCAGTCATAATACCAGATATTAATTTTTTTGAGCTGATTCAAGCACAAACCTAAACAACCAACCGTTTGTGTCAACCACACCACACTGCTGTGAGGCACAGCAGTTCTGAAGACTCCCCCTTTTCCAGCAAAACACTGTCAAGAACTTCTGTGCTGGTCGGGACAAGTAAGCATTCTAGATTTCCAAGAGCTGTTTAAGCTCTTCTGAAACAACTGCAGTGCCTTCACTTCAAACTCTGCTTCAGAACACACTACCTCTGGTTGGCAACTTTTATACTGTTTACACACACAAACTGAAAATAGGCTTTCAGAAATTAATGGTTTTTATTAGTATACACCAAGTTAAGGAATGGCACCAAGTTGATCTGGCTGGTATCCGAGTAGATCATACACTACAACACAGACTGCCAACTGATCTATATCCATAGCATGAATCACGTGGGACAATGCAGACATACACATCATTAAACAGAACCACCAGGACTAGCAATAACTCACATTCAAATCTTGCGGGTTTTAATCTTGTGGCTATGTCCAGATAGACAAGCTTGATAGCATTACCTCTCTTCCTGCCTTCTAGAGGGCACAACCTACTTTCCTCCTGGAGTTCAGCATTTCAAACTCACTGCCAATTTAGTTACAGTCTAAAGCATCATGATGATAGCCATATTACAGGAGAACAATTTTTGCTGTCCAATGTACCCAGTTTCTGTAATCAAGCCACAGTTTTGACCTTTCTGTCTTTCCTATTTTATGTGTCACTGTTGTATATAACTTGTCCTCCCCCTAAACAGTATTAACCTAGAAAAGCATAAAGCACAGTTACTCCTACGTTACATGACCTTGCTGTAATTCCAAGGTCATGACTAAAGCCATGTGGTAAGGCAGAAGAAAAAACTTGCATTACTATTGTTCTTTTACTTATACTCTTGCATACACATGAATGATTTACAAAAAGTTTGTGAGTCTTGCTGAAGTAACTAAAAGCAAATTTACTCCTAGGCATGAACAAACCCAATATGCAACAAGAGACAGGTAAGAAGCATGTATTGCATTCATCAGGTTATATGGCAAGTTTCCAATAGCACCAGAAGCCAAAGACAAAAATCCTGATGTCCCTCTGTACATGCCCCTACACCTGAACTTCAAGTCTCCTACATGACTTCATTATGGATTGTGACCCTTTGTCTAAACATTCTTTCACTGCAGTCATGCCAAGCTAATAGCAGCAGAACTGCAAACACCAGAAACTCAAGTGCATTTGGTATTACTAAACAAAAAAAATGCAACTTGTTTCTGAACTAGCATGAAACTACATCATGCAGGCTTGGAGTAACTCATTACTTTTGGTGGTAACTTCACTAGATTGCTCTTAGTAAGAGTATGTACTACTACTTTACCTTTCAATTTAAAGCATTTTTGGTTGTTTTTTTTTCCCTTAACTGAAGGATGAAAGGAGAGTGGCTCAACGTTGTACAGGTACTAAGGGTATCGAACATGTGCAGTTGAGTAGCTGTTAAAAAAAACCAACCCAGCAAACAAATACAACCACACAGAGAAAATCCTACACACACACCCCGCCACTCATTGTTTTTATTTAGCTTTTGCCAATGTTGGCTTCTGACCTATTCTCCTTTCCAATGTTCTCTACTTAGCATTCAGTTTTCAAACCAGACACTTTCTCATTCTCAAAGTAAAAGAGGTGGAAGGGATGTGGAAGGAAAAAAAGGAAGAGGACAAACACAGTAAGAAAACCAAATGAAGATCCCACCCGAATTCTTCTACAGATCAAAAAGTACACACATAGTCCATCACCACATTACTCAACATCAACTTTGAGTAAAGCCATAGATAAACCCAAGCTAAAATATCTTTCAGTAATAGTGTAGTGAAGAGCTGTAACTTAGAATACACATAACCAATGGGTTTGTATAAATACAAAGAACAGACTTATCCCACCCATTTCAACCATAAAATCCCCAACTTAATGCATGGAAATATTTAGATTTTGCACAAAATCATGGAATGAATCAATGGGTGTCCAATCTGAGACAAGCTATCCTTGCAGGAACCTTGCAATTCTAGTTCCAAGCTCAGTTGATTTCAGAAATAGTGCAAACATGGAGCCTCATTCACTAATGAACATTTCTGAATAGGTATGCAAATCAGCTCAAAAACTAATTAGAAAAAAAGAAAGGAAGGGTCTTGTCATTACACATTACACCATAAAAATAACAGGAAAGAAAAAAAAACATTTCCAACCTTTAAATGTAAGGCTGTGAATGGATCTCCAGAGACTTGTTAAGCCCTAACACACCTGTACAGCTCCATGTTACAATATACAAACATTTCCCATCTTTGGAGCCTGACACACACAGCACACATTCCACTGACTACAGCTACCTTTGGATTAACAGACTTCTGTAGCTCTGTCTCCCTTATAGTTCCATAGCTTTCTTCTGTACTTGTATCTTAATCTCTAGTATTCTTTAAATAGCTAACATAGACAAGAAATATAGCTGTGATATTGCTACCTGACAAGAAGAGAGAAAATAGAAAAATGTATTGCAAAACTTTTATCTCAGCAGATACATAAGACTGGTTTTATTCCTCCAGCCCATCCCAAATCTGTACCCTATACAGTTACTCATGTTTTTTTCTGTTACTACTTTTAGTCAAGACAGGTGTTTCTGCTGGAGGCATCTGATTTTCTCTTTCAGAAAAAAAGGGGAATGGGTAGTTGTCACATCTTTTTGAAGAAACAAAAGATTAAACCAGAACTTTATAATTACTACTTGCACCATTTCACAGTGGCAGCTAAGTTAAGAGACTGCTTTTACTTTTTTATACTTCAAAACAGAGCAGGGATGCAGCTTGATAGCTTATTGTATTTACCTTTCTTTTGTCTTCATCTGCTGGATCAAATCTGAAAATGGTCCGATTCTGTAAAAAATGAGAAGAGTTTGCAATTTGTTACATGAACATCAGCTGCTAAGTACGTAATACCTGCAAAAATATTGTAACACTTTAGGAGCCTGGTAAAAACCAATCTCAGATAATGAGGCCACAATCATGCCAACTCATGTCCCCTTCCCTTCCAACCCAACAGCATGAGCTTCAGTAAGTAGTTCCAAGTAACAATCTCACAATCACTGTCAGTACAGAGCAACCCTTTATCCTTGGGCTGTTTCTGATGCGCATTAACAACATCACACATGGCGCTTTACACTGTGAAAAACGTTAGCTATAGCCTTGTAATTTACAAACGCCTTATTACTCAGATTCTTCCCCAAGCAGTTATGGCTTCCAAGCATTTGACTGTACTTTAAAATGCCCCATATCAGAACCACCATAGTATAATTTTGCCCAGAAAACAAGCAGAGCAAATCAAATAAGCCTCAGCACAAAATCTACCCGTTTCCATATTGTGGCTATTTCCAAACTACATTAGCAAGATATTTGTTTCTCTAGAACAGTCAAACACAAGCTAGACATGGTCTAACAATGAGTACTCATTTCCTGTTAAACACCTCAAATAGTAGTTGAGATTAGTTCTACCTCAGTTTCCTGAAGCATGTTACTAGTGAAATACTACTCATAGGACACAAACTTTATTGTGCCAGTCAAAGACAACAGCAATAATACCATGCAGTTATTTTAACTGCATCTTCAAACCTTCCAAGTGATTAATCATGATGAACAGATTCTCAATTTCCATTATTTATAATATATTATTTATAGCATACAACTTGCTACATCATGTAAGTGACCCTCCATAGCACATTAGTGGCCTCTTACCTTTCATGACACAAGCCAACAATTACAGAAAGGCCTTGGACATCTACCCTACAATCAAGTGTTACCAATATCAGTTAGATCCGTGACGACAGTAGGAAAATAATTCCTTTCCTTTCTCTTACAGCTCCCAATAACACTACTGAACCACACAAGTTAAGCAAAATGCCAGCCAAAAGCAGGTGAACATTAAATGATGAGAAATTAACCAAGAGAAGGCAGTATCTGCACTTGCACATGAACGTTCTTGGAAATTTACAAGAGAAGTGTAGTGACAGTTCCTGCAGTCTGAACACTGGAGAACCAGAAGTTTGGCATAATCATTGCAAACAAGACAGCACAGAGGACTAAGAAGAGACCTACTAACTTCTCTCATTAGTTATTCTACAGCAACCTGCACCTTTGAAATAAACTTAATCCATCTTTTCTCTTCAATTGAGACATATTTAATTTGTTATTTGGGAAAAAAAATAAGGAAACCTAAAGCACAGAAAAGGCATAGGTAAAGATCTGGAAATTGGGAGTACTCTGCCTGTCTCTGCTGGCCCACAAGCAAGATAATGAAGTTAGTAACATGTTCCAGAGAGAAATGTAGGAAACATTAAGGCAAACTTCTTAACAAGAAACACAGCGAGAGAAATGTCATGTTGAGATTTCAGAAGAAGTATTTAGCTACACATGTAACCCCAAGGCTTCATTCAAAGACTTTAAATGTCTTTGATACAGACATCTGATATATACAGAACAGAAACTGCAAGATACCAGTTACTGCCACTGCTCGACTTAAAACATAGACTTAAAACTACATATTGCATGTAAGACAGCAAACTTCAAGCCATCTCTTGGAGGCTGAAGGATAACCATACACCAATCCACATTTGTTTGGTTTCCCTCTAATGACAGAGCCAGGAATCTTGAACTAAACACCTGAATGTTTATTCCTGTAACAGATTCCTAAATTTCAGAAGACAGCTCAACACAACAGCATTTACATCTATAGCCAAACTCTGAGTCAGTACAAGCTTTAGATGCTTGTGTTCCAGTCACAGAAGGGTCTACACGAAGGACAGGTACTCTCTAATACTTGTATGCACTAAAACTACCTGTTGTAACCTTGATTTCAGCTGTCTCCCTTCTTCCCTTTGCTTGCCCAGAAACGTAATAAAACCAAGCGAGGTTTTGCAGTCCACTTCAGACATACCCCAGTCCCCCTGCGAGCTGTTCCCCTGCACATTGACCCCCTCACTGCTGAAGCAATGCAAAGGGAAAGCCTCTCCCCAGTACATTACCCAGACCTGGCAACAGACGACTGCCTGCAAAGGGCAGCACTGCGGGCAGCCGAGCAGGTACACAATGGTCCGAAAGGCTTCAGTGTTACTCTCCCAGGCTCTTCTCTGGGGTACATGCAGGTTAAAGGACGTCGGAAACAAACTGTGGAACAGCTCTTTCTAGAGCCTGATAACCGATAACCTGCTATGCTCCACGTCAGGCATGCAAGGTACAAGCAAGACAGGGAAGGCGGGGGGCCGAACCTGGCACTGAGCGTTATCTACCCGCGATACCGCTGGCTTGTGCGCTCCTTTAGGAGCCTGCTTCCCGCCAGGCGCAGGCCCCGCTCGACACCCCTCCGCAGAAGGCGGACAGCACTCGGGGACACGCCGGGGAAGCGGCAGCAGACGCGGTCGAAGCAGCGGACCCGCCGCAGAGAAGAGAGCGGGGGGCAATGGCAGGGACGACCGTGGGCCCAGCGGGACTGCGATACCGCCGGGGGAGCTGAGGGGCCGGTTAGTACCGCGAGGGGAGGGGAACGGCCCGTTACCTCCTCGTTGTACCGCGCCAGGACTCGCTCCACCGCCTCAGCGCTGCCGCGCCCCTCCACGGCCTCCAGCACCGCGCCCAGTTCCATGCCCGCGGCCGCCAGCGGCTCGGCTCGGCTCGGCTCGGCTCGGCTCGGCTCGGCTCGGCTCGGCTCGGCTCGGCTCGGCTCGGCTCGGCTCGGCTCGGCTCGGCTCGGCTCGGCTCGGCTCGGCTCGGCTCGGCTCGGCTCGGCTCGGCTCGGCTCGGCTCGGCTCGGCTCGGCTCGGCTCGGCTCGGCTCGGCTCGGCTGCAACCACCGCCCCGCCGTGCCCTGACCTCTTGCCCCGCGCAACCCTCACGTGACGCGACGTAACGTGACGTATCACGACACTACGCTCCCCTTGGAAACCGCCCGGATTGGCAGGCAGCTCTCGAGCGCTATTGGCTGGAGGTTCCGCTGGGAGCCCTTCTATTGGCTGTCTTCCCTCCCGGTCCCGCCCACACCAAGAAGACTACGTCTCCCAGCATGCCAAGTGACGAATCACTGCGGTGCCTGGCAGGGTCTCGTGCCGCAGGGCACAATGGGTGCTGTGGTTCCGCTGGGCAGCCCCGGAGGCGTCAGGGGAGGGGGGCAAGCCAGCGGGGTGAGACCATGGGTTCGAGTCCCTAGCGGTTGCCGCCGGCGGAGAGGGCGCCTCCCAAACACTCAGTGGCACAAAGCTTACCGCGACATAGGCCTCCCTCGCTAGGCTTGTCCACTTGTGTGTTCTCTGTGACTCACCCTGCGTTTACCATGCCTGTCACAAGGAGAGCTACCTGCCAAAATGAGGGCTGGCCACTTTCCCTCAAGTTTTTAGGCAAAATGTGCTGCATTTTATGGTGCCTTCAACTACACCTGCCTCGGGCAGACACTCCAGAGTGACATGGTTGCAGAGCTGCCTCCTGCCCTGCCCTTACCCACCAGCCCTGCACAGAATGGCACTAAGGGGTGGCCTGAGTGAAGTCTGTGTCCGTTGCCTGACGTGGGGCTTCACCACAATGTCTGGTAGCAAAACCCTTCTTTCTCCAGTCAAACCCACCTGGGGGGCAGTGGTACCTGAACATTCACCATTTCCATTTGGAGAGAAAACCCCTCTCTCTGCCTTGCCAAAACTGCCTGTGTATTCAGGGAAAGATGTACTGTGTCTCTAAAGAGCTTTTCAGGGCCATAGGTTTAAACTATGCTGAGAAGAAACTTAGTATTTCCATATTCAGGGTGCCTGATAATCAAAATTCACTGTCCAGATAGCAGAAACAATGTATTGACTGAAAAAAACCCAAGGTAATAAACTTTCAGAGACAGCTGAGGTCAGTCTCTCCTTGAGGTACTTACTTGTTCAGCAGTGATTCTGGAGGTACTCTGAGGTCATGAATAGAAACCTTTCACCTCACAAACCATCAGCTCCATGGCGGAAAACACCATCAGGGCAAGGAGGTTTCATCTGCAGATGGACAGGGGCTCCAAAGAGCAGCGAAGGAGATAAAACGTGTTGGTGTGTGTTGAAGATGCAGACCCAAACTAGGATGTGAACTTTCTGATCAGGGTTTCTTGCCACAGCGGATTGAACTGAGATACAGAACCAGAACAACATGGTCATTGGACTGCAAGGAGTAACGAAATCCAGCCCCAAGTGCACAGTCATTTCTTCTGACTCAGGTTCATGTGTGTACTAATGCAGCCATGGAGAGGAACCCAGTAAAAATAATCCTCTGCTTATAACTCTACAATAATGCATGAGATTGCTTAGATTTCCCTCACACCCATTTTACTTGTACATAGAAAATTTATTTATTTTTTAATTGAAAAAACACCTAAAAAATAAACACTTGGAGACTATTACTTTCTCTTTTAAGGCACATTGTTATTCATCATTGGTGAGTTTTAGTTTCCATTTTATGTAGCATATGAAGGATTAGGATTTGAATGAAAGAGAGGGACAGAATAAATTGCATCCTCTACCAAAGGACTGCCAGACCTTTTCAGACGGGTGCATACCATGAGCCCTTCCCATGTTAGTCAGCTTTATCTAAACGTTCCAAAGCAGTGTCTGCCCCTGAATTTCATGGGTTTCAGGGTCAGTCACAACAGAATTGTGGGGCTGGGGAGGTCAGAGGCCATTTTTGTCAGAGGGTAGTGACCTTAGCAGCAAGAGGTAGCCTGACAAAAACAGGATTCATGCCAGTGAATGGAGTTCTCACTGCTCTTCCCCCGCTGAGTCTTTTTTCTACCTGGTAATGAAAAATCTTGAAGCATTGTAATGGATTTTTATATGCAGACATACATGTATGTGCGTGTGTGTGTGTACAGCTGTTTAAAAATATTATATATATGCTAGTTATGCTGTAATAAATAATATTACAATATATTATGTGGAATATATTACATACCTCTATTGTTATGCTTTAGCCCATGAAAAAGATCACACTTTTAATAAAATGTGTATTTGTTGTGAGAAGATAGAAAGTTAGCAAGAAAAAAAAAAAAGAAAATAAAAAGAAAGGGGAAAATAAAAGAAAAAAGGAAAAAAGGAAAAGGGAAAAATGAGGAAAATGAAAAGAAAGAAAAGGAAAACAGAAAAAAGGGGGCAAGATAAGGGAAGAAGGAGAAAGGGAAAAAGGAAAAAATAAGAAAAAGGAAAAAGGAAAACAGACAAGAAAAAAGAAAGTGAAGATGATACTGAGTGCTTTGGTATGTGGTATAAAATCTTCAGAAAGATTTGTGTAGTCTTTTATTTAAGCTCTGTATTTACTTTATATACCCATAATTACGTGGCTGCTCAAGAAGCAGCAGTTTCAGTAACCATAGTCAAGGGAAGGCTGCAGACTCTGACTCGGGAGGTTTGGCAGTTTGTACTGGGATGATTTAAGAGATTCTTGCCCCTAACCAGGCATTCTTCCCAGAGATTATCATCCTGTCCTGAGCTGCTGCACTTCACCACTTGGTTTACACCCCTGTGACCCGAAAGCTGCCGCAGGATGTATTAATATGGTGAATTCCAAGCTGTGGTCAAGGAAGGGGCCTGCTTTCCCTTGCAGCATGTCTGTTGCAGATGGGGATGGTGACCTCTGTAGAGTTATGTTTGGTAATCTAGATACTGCTACCCAGGAACACGCAGATTAAATTTCAGAGCCTTCATCAAGAAGCAGTGCATGTTCAGGTTCCTGTGGCATCAATACAAGTTAATAAATGAATTAAAAATTAAAAATAAAGGAAAAGACAGACTGTGGAGGTTCTGTTGCAAAAGCCTTTCAAAGCCCTATCTAACTGATGTTCTGTGGCTCTTTTATGAACAGTCTTGTGGTGCTGCTGTTGGTCAAAACTGCCTCTCCCAAGATTTTCTGCACGGTGTTACATTTCTTAGCTCAGAAAGTCCTTACAATTTCTGGTGTTGATACTGTGCCCAGTATCGCTCTTCCTTCCTGAATATTCTGCCTGAGCTCTTGAAATCAGAGTTCACTGAGTTGTCCTTGAACATATTGAAGGATATGCTAAAATAGTCTCATCTTCTCCTTTCTTCCAGTCAGTGGGGATTAGACTTTGTTTAGTTTAACAAGGTATTGTAAAAAATGTGGGAAGTGCTTCTGGCTTCCATCAAGTGATGCTGGGGTTCATCTCCGTCCCGGTCCTTCGAAAGACCCAGCTTTGAGTTAATGGGCCATTCTTCACACAAACATCTTGCCAATGCCTCTGGTCCTGTTGACCATGGCAAGTCATGGTCAAGAGTCCATTGGGCAATGGGAGACTGATCGATGTTCCAGCAATAATGAATGAGTGAACAGGGTCACAGTGGGCTCGCGTCAGACGCAATGCAGTACAGAAAACTGGAATTCACTGGGGAAAAGAAAGTGGATTTTTCTATTCTAGTGCCTTTCTCGTACTAATTTCTCAGTCTTGATGAGGCAGATATTTCTATGCTTGTTATTAATTAATAGGCCAGAATCAATGCTTTGATTTAAACATCTTCAATAACAAAATACAATGCAGGACATTGGTCTCAAACACATCAAAACTCCATCTGCGAAAGACCGAGTGCTAAAAAAACGTCCTAAGATAATTTACTTTTCTTCATGTGTAGACAACTTTACCTGAAGATAACATGAATAAGTATAAAATAGATGAGTTAGCCTACACCTGATCTCCCTGTCCTTAACAAAAGTGAAAAGTAGAGGTATCTTGGGTAATAGCACAAGCCAATGGAGAAAACTTTCAGACGGTCTGTGACACTAACTGAGGAAACAAGATTTTTGCCAGGTGCCTAGGGGTGGAGATGGGCTCCAGATGTTTTTTCTGAAAATCCCTCTGGGCTTTGACTGCATATTTAAGAGCCTGAACACTTCCCAAACCTGGCCTGGAACATCCTTCCTCTCTCAACCTTTGCAAATTTCCAGTGCACTCCTTTAGCTACTTCAGACCCCAAACTCTCTCCATTTCACTCACTACCTAAATACACAAGACCTGAAAATTTTGCCACTTTATTTACTTACCTAAGGAAAAATTACTTTTCCATTTCCAGTATTCTGGTGGCAACATATTTGTTACAAGGTACTGTAAAGAAGAGAACACATCTCACCTGCCCCAGTGAATACAATGGCATCGGTGAGCAACAGCAGCAGAGCTTACACCAAGCCACCTGGAGTCATCTGTCCAGTCCCAGCCTTGAGCAGTTTGTAGCCACAAGCGCAGGTGTCAGGCTACTCATTTGCTGTCAGTTATGTATGTTGTCAAGCTCTTTGTTGAATAAAACCAGTCACATTTAGGATTTTCTGAAGGTTTGCAGCTTGCAGAAGTTTCTGTGTTTAAGTAAATTTAAATGTCATCTATTTAATTTCAGGAACTTTATTTGAGTGTGAAAATCCCTCATATATCTTGCACAACTGTACAAATAACACTTATGTCCATTTCATAAACATGGTTATCATCACACTGGGTGCTATCAAAGATTTTATTTACAGAACAATTACTGAAATGTCTGATGTCATATTTCCATTTATTTATTTCTTACCCATAGGGTAATAGGTCCACCATAATTGCTTGGTGCATTTTATAATACAGAAGAAAAAGCTATGTTAATAAAATCTAACAAAAACTCACAAATAGCTAGAAATCTGACAGGAAATGTCTAAGAAAAATTCTCCCCAAAATACAATACATTTTTCCACACATACACAGTACAGAATAAGTTCAAAGGCACAGCTTTGAATTTTGATTTTGTAGAAGTATATAGAATTATCACCACATGAAGGAACTGAGAGAATAGTTTCATACCTGTCAATAGGTAATTAAGTGATAATCATGTTTGCATTGTCAATTTTCTTTACATAATTGCTTCATATCATCATATTTAACATATGTGGCTCTGAATCCCAGATCTTCCCAGTCCCCAAGTCCCTTGTCCATTTCTGACTAGAGAAGTTAGATTTTTCCAGATTGTGCAAACTTAACACAAACACATATATAATAAGAACAATAGTCAACTTAAGGCAGTGTATAATTCAATGCTACATGTCTTGTCTTCTCCTGTGTAAAGATCAAACTTAGTGGATCCACAGAAAGGTGCATCAATATACAAAGTTAGGTGTAAACTGAAACCTACAACACCACATCTCTTTTAAGGAGCCAGATAAAGGAATTGATATGAAGAAGTGATGACTTGGCAGAATGGTTTTTAAGGAATGCATTAAGAGCTTAAAAGAAGAACAGATGACAGAGCTTTGCTGAGGGTGGGTGAATTTCCTGTCTTCAATTAGAATTATGAATAGGCCCTGTTCTGGTACTTTTTTTGTAACACTTATTAACATTTGTCAATAAGAGAGGGGGGCAAAAATGGCTCACTCAAACTGACATCACACAGGGTTGGCCCACAAGCCAGAATTAAAAAAGGCACAGATTGGCCCCAGAAGTGGTCTAGAATAGAACAAAACTCTTTTTCAGCTACAGAAACGTTCAGCCGTACTGGTCTGCAATCTGCCCACAATATGAACTACGGTTATCTGCCCAGGATCTTTTCCATCTTCACCTCCATTGGAGAATGTCTGTGAAAACTCCCACATAACATGAAGTTTTTATAACTCTTTTAAGTATATGGGCTTAGCTGATACCAGTCATTTTCATTTAGCCCAACCTGTGGTGGCTTCCCCATTGATATAAGCAAAGCCAGGAAAGTGTTGCATGTGCTCATATTCAGAATTCCTGCGTGTAGTCAAGGGGGTGTACATGTCACTAGAATTTCCATATCTTGTGGAGTGCATGGATGGGCTCGTGTAGCAGGAGTTTGCGGCTGGGACCTCCGGCCAACGAGGAGTCACTGGTGTGGGATGTAGTCTTGGAGTACTGCTCATCAGACAGGGCTCCATTCTTGACGTTGGGCTATTGAAAGGGTACTACAATAAAAGCAAAGAAAAAACAAATTAAAGCAATATCTATCACATACTTAAGGTTAAAATAAGGGCTGGTGGTGTCACAATGCGTGTTTAACAAAATCAAAATCATATGAACTAATGGACCTCCAACAAATAGGTAGCATACTGAAGGTGGAATATCAGATAACTAATGCCTGCCGTCAAACCAGTGTGGGAGTGATCACTGCACTTAAATATTGGCTTAATTTATCAAAGGGCTATGCACTGGCAGGTATATCTGGGAGCAGAAAAATAAGTTTAATTCATTCTATCTTTTTCTCACTGCTTTTAGTTGAAATCTTGCTCTTCAGTAAAAAAACAAAGTATGAAATGTGCCGACTCCTGTTCACTCAACTCAGTTTTGAGGGAGGAGAGTAAAAGATCTTTATTACTGAAAGGTGCCTTTCCTTTTAAACATTCACAAGCCATCCTGCCAGTTTCTGCAAAAAAGTACTATAGTCTGGCCTCAGAGCAGGCAGCTAGTTGAAGGACTTATGAAAAGAGGCAGGCAGAAGAAGAATCTCTCTATTCCCCAGCTGTTCGCAGCGACAGTTGGAAAATAGGAATCAAAGAAGCTCAACAAATGCCTCCCACTTAGGAGAAGATGTGCTGAGGATAGGAAGAATAAGCAGGAAAACAGAGAACAGCTTTTGCTTTCTATAGCCACAGGCTGCCTAGCAACACAAAGCAAATTCTGCTTATGAGTGCTTGCTTAACATATATTTCTCTTATTGCCTTACAGGAGCAGATCATCCTTGTGCTCTCCGTGTTTTGCAATCCTATTATCCATCTGCATCACAGAGACCGTTAGGATCCATGTTCCCCTTGACCAGCCACGTGTCTTCAGGGGTTCTACACTTTACACCTTTATACCTTTTCTACAAAAGGGGTCATAGTTGAAAATTTCATCTTTTTGGGTTGTTTGACAGTGTTTCACCAAAGTTAGGACTATCACCCCTTCTGATGCTTACAAGCCTTGCAAGCTGTGTGCCAAAACTTTATATAGTTGCGGACTGTGAAATCCCTTCCCCATCTTTTGGAGGACCATGGAGAGAAGAGCTGCTGTAGTTGTTCCTAGGAGGGAGATGACAGTGATTCCCAAAGGGTCTTGTTACATTACCCCACTGCCGGATGGGGCTGTGGTTAATCAGTTGCATAAGCAGCTGTTGCATAAGCCCAAGGCAATTATAGCAATGTCTCCATGAGGAGTTTCTTCTGACTCCTTTCAAACCACAGCCAGGAAGGCAGCCCTGCCTTGGCAAACATATTCAAACAGTTCACAAAGCCTCAGGCAGCTCAAAAGTCGCACTCGAAACACTCCTAATTAGAGAGGAGAAAGAGAAGACTATTTTTGACCAACCTACTATAGTTAGTGATTTAGCATCCACACACATTCCATTGTATCCTAGGGGAGACAGGCCAGTTACAAGATGAGAGGAAGGACATCAAAGCTGTATGATGTGATATTTAGCATGTACTTCTCATTGCCATAGAGACTGGATTTACCTGTGCAATCAGCTGCTGAAACAGGCTGGTAAATAGCAGCACCATACTGGAATGTCAACACTTAAACTGGTATTGTTAATACAGCTGTCAGAATAAGCTCTAATGGTAACACTGGCAGTGAGTCTATACAAGATCATCTAAATTTCCATCTTCACAGAATCATAGAATTTTTTTGTGTTGGAAGGGGCCTTAAATATCATCTAGTTCCAACCCCCTTCCATGGGCAGGGACACCTTCCACTAGACCAGGTTGCTCCAAGCCCTGTCCAACCTGGCCTTGAACACTGCCATGAATGGGGCAGCCACAGCTTCTTTGGGCAACCTGTGCCAGTGCCTTACTGCCCTCATAGGGAAAAAACTCCTTCCCAGTGCCTTACTGCCCTCATAGGGAAAAAACTCCTTCCTAATATCTAACCTAAATCTTCCCTCCAGTTTAAAGCCATTACCCCTTATCATTACCCTCCACATACCCTTGTAAAAAAACTTTTCCAGAATTCCTGTAGTCCCCATTTAGGTATTCACCCCAGAGAAAGGCTTTTCAGTAGGAAAACTCAGCAGACCTTAGGCACTGATCACAGAAGACCTTATGTTCCTTTGCAGAGGACTACAAGTTTTCAGAATTGTTGGTTTTCCAGAAGCTTTTGCTGAAGATAAGAGTTGCCAGTGCCCAGCAGCAATGAAACTCAAGCTCTGAGGTTTTAAATTAGGTGATTTTATTTAAGATCATGGTTCTCTCATTTAATTCATTTATTAAGGACAAGGCACTCTATCAAAAGACAAACAGCCTTCAAATATTCTAAGTAAATATAAGAGGTTCCATAAAAAGTTAAGCAAATTTCATTTTTTTAATGTTTGGGAGAATAGCTAATAAAGTTAGGGTGCTCCTTTCCTGGTCCGCACTGGCAATAATTGAACGTCATTTTCATGCCAGTGCCTGCTGACTGCTTTTGCCTGAACATCGCCATGAACAAAACTCTCACCATAATGAATACAGAGGAAACAAGTTGTCTTGTGATTCACTATAGTTTTGAAGTTGAATTCATCTCACCTAACTTTAGTCGTTAAAATGTCAAGTGTCTTATAAAAGTGACTCATCTTCGCTCTGTCTACAGCCACCGGAAGAATTTATCAAACCTCGAGGTAAATATTTAAGACAGAAGATAAGCAGTCCTCAGAAGATGGCTCTTCCTCCTGCTACATGATGTAATCCATTAGTTAGGTTGGCTTAAGTTAAATAAAAGTCCCTTTCCACAGTTGTCAAATCCATAACTTGTATTTCCTGGCTGATCTCAAATGTACAAAATGCTTTGAGATGGTAGGAGTCAGGACCAGGATGCGTCATTGAGAAAAAGCCACACCACACAAATAATACATTTTTAGCTTTGTGTTTTCTGTATGCCACCTGTGGAGCTGCAAGATGTGAGCCAATCTAGAAACATTCTTGTCTTCAGTACTGTTTTACCTGATACCAGTTATCATGGTCTTTATTACCCATTGATCTATACCTGAAGTCACTGTAGATTCTTGTATTAAAGAACAAGATTAATCTAGACTTTTGCCATAATACACCAATAATTATCACTTGTCTCCTTTCCTATGTGATAATTGACCTACTCTGTTGTTAACAGTAAGGGAATCCATTGCCATCCTGACTCAGTGCAATTTTCCTTTGAGGTTGTGAAACTGAGGTTGTGACTTACATCAAGGGAATTACTTGCTTTCATACCCCCTACGAATGCCAAGAGAAAACTCCAGCTTCAGCTGGGATAATTTGCTACTTGATAATTTGCAGACTGCAAAACTTTCATCTATGAGCAAGAAGAGCAAAATGAACTGTGGGAATCTTATGGTGGGTCTCCTGGTTGTAAATGGCATTATGTGGGGAAGCCACATAACATCTTTTTGGTAGTTTGGAACCACAAAACCTGTGCTGTTAGGGGAATGAAACCTTGGCTCACAGAATAAACTTCAGGATGCCTTGAAAAAGGAAGATAATCCTCCTCCTATCTGCAGTCAAGAGGCCATGCTAAGGCTTACTAAGAAGGCAGGGCTGATGGCTGTGCATGAGGGGACAGGATACAGTGTGCTGCTTTTCCTTTTCATCAGGCGCACTCGATGCAGCTGTGTTTATGAATGTGTCATGAATGTAAAAAGAATAATTGCTTGAAAATAAAATGGACTCTAAATATCTAGTATTTTACAATAAATTCTGTTATGACTGAAAGCAAGATGGAAAGTTTTGTAATGGTAGGTCAGCTAATCGCAAATGAGTCAGTGACTTCTTTTTCCTTACATTGAAGAGACTATTGAAAGACAATATTTTTAAAGTACTCATTGGCCCCTGCCTGACTATTAACTCACCCAATGAAGCATCTATTCAGCCTTGTTGGAGTGTCCGAAGCATAGCCATCTGGGCGGATGCCTGCCCATGCTGCCTGAATCACCTTTCACACTCTACATCCGGTTTGATGAAGAGTGCTTAAGCATGCTGAACTCAAAACACTGGGGCCTAGTGATCTTTGCCAGATATAAAAGCGACATTTGTTGGAGGGCTCTTGACAGGAAATTGCCATTTTCTGGGCTAACTCACACTTGCTGCTACTGCTGCTGTTAGACCTAGACAAGAAGCCCTTTAAGTCTGAGAGTCTTTGAGCAGATTACTGTTAAGGCCTTGCCCAATAATGTAAAATTAATTCAATTTATTTTAGTATTATTTTAGAAAATACATAAAGGATGTCCTCAAATGAAGTGAAGACTGAGTTCCTGCAGTGTGAGGATGGAGAATAATCTCTTTATTCTTATCCTCAGCTCACTGACTGATTATGCATGGAGGTGAAAGGTGTCTCTGTCCAAACAGCAAAATATTTTCCTTGTGAATGCGGCTCTGACTTTACATTGCATTCGCTCACACTTCTGCAGAGTGCTTTAAGTTAATGTTGTACGGTAGGCACTACTTCAGCATTTGCAAATAACTCATAACCAGAAATTACAGCAATTGTGAAGAACTGGCTATAAATTAACTTCATAAAAATACGCTTCTAATCTCAAAAAATTGCATAATCAAAACGATTGATTGAATCTTTATAACCCCTAATTTGATCCTTTTCTTCCCAAAGTGAAGCTTATTGAATATTCATCTGTCAAATAGTTCGAGTGAAACTTTCCAGTCAATCTACGTGGTTTTGGTACTTCAGGGAGTGGCAGTTGGAGCCTTATGAAAAAACAATTTGTAATTATTTAGAAAGAAGACATCTGTTTCCTGTTGCATTCAATACATAATTACTTCCAATTACATTCTAACAATCTCAAGTCCGTTATGAAGCCATAGAGTTGGGAACAATGATTCTTGTCGCATGGGTGGCCAGTATTTTTGTTCTTTCTGTCATTACTAGCTGTTTGCTGACAGGGTAGTTATTGGGAAGGTTATATTATTCTTACTGCATTGGTACAGTCACAAGCTTATACTGTGTATGTGCT